TCTCTTCTTTACTCTCCTCTCCCTTCCCCTCTTCTTTCCTCCCCCACCATCCCGTTTGTTCTCCGCTTCTCCCATTTCTTCTCCTCTTATTTCATCCCTCCCTCTCTCTTCTCTTCTCTTCTCTTCTCTTCTCTTCTCTTCTCTTCTCTTCTCTTCTCTTCTCTTCTCTTCTCTTCTCTTCTCTTCTCTTCTCTTCTCTTCTCTTCTCTTCTCTTCTCTTCTCTTCTCTTCTCTTCTGCAATATAACTCTCCGCTGGTATTATCCAAAACGTCAAAGGGCGTGGCACCTCAATGCCACAAATAGCAAACCACCGACCATAAAATTTCTTGCGTAACAGCACCCTGAATATCGGGTTACTTGCTGGACAGCAACGTCACCCTAGGAAGCTCCTCGAACGAAACAAAGACGTCCTATCATATCTGTTCTAAAATATTTATCCAGTTTATATTTCCATTCGCTGACTTCAGATACATTCAATATTTTTCCCCATTTAGGCAGATCATGTATTATTCTGACTGTGACTTCAGTTCTCTTTCAACATGAAGGAAACTGAAGACTGATGCTTCATGGTTTTTCCCTCTAAACACTGTTTCAATTTCTGCGAATATAATCTACAAACGTTCTCTCCAGCCTGTCTTATGTAACTTCCTTCCGGTGTTACGAGAATAGCAGGAAAAAGTGAAAACACGTAAGTTTGATCGGGTGTGTAATAAAAAAAGTTTCCAAATGACGTGAAATGGAGGTAAAAGAACGTTCAGTTCTTCTAAGCGAACAAATTTTACATTAAAGACTGGAACTTCAGCATTTCAAGTGTTACAGGACTGTACCTGTTTTCTTCTTTACAGCTTCAAGCTCACTAAGGTTCCAGTCGGTTCAACGCTTTGAGAGATTATACCGATGATATTATGTTTGCAGTTCCTTCTCTTTATTTTCTTAATCTCATTACATATGATTATCTTCACGGCCTTTACTGAGCACTCGACAGCTTCTCAGCTAGTCAGGGTGTTCACAGTCCTTACAGAACCCGAATTCCCATTGCCATGTTCACATTAGGTCGCCACTGGAACCCATCCAGAACCAGTCCACTTCAGCTCTCACATTTACGCCATAATATATATTTTTAGATCAATCTCAGTCTTGTACTCCCAGCACGTACGTTTACGTCTCCCAAACAATATTTTACATTACGTTCTCTTACCAAAAAATTGTATGATTCTTATTGTTTCTTTTCCGTGTAATTTAATTTAAGCGTGACTGAAAACAGGGATCGATTGGGAGCTTGGAAGGGGGGCTCTTGTGCTCGCTGTAAACCCCCTTCCCTTAGAATTTCGTAAATGGCGATAAATACCTCGGAAAACTGACATGCTTTTAGCTTCAGAAGACGGAACCTGCTGACATTTTGGTCTTCTGCGTAATGACAGTGAGAAGTCTCGTACGGGAATGTAGACGTTTCGGAGGAACATACTACCTCCATCTTCATATTCGGATACAAGGGTATATGTTTCAAGTACTCAGAAGACCACTCTGAACAATCACTACCTTGAATACCTCACAAATTAAAACACTCATCGGTACAGACCCGTTGCTAGGCAACCACCGCAAGATAAGCAAAAGTACAACAGTCGTTACTAAGTAACAGCTTCTCGAACAATAGGAAACAGCAACAGAGGACGAGTGTTTTCATGCCGAGATGTTATAAGTAGGACAGTTAGGGCAGTGAATTAGCTGTGAGACAGTCGCCAGCAGGTAAGAACGTGAGCACGGAAACAGAGGACATTGTTGGGATCCGTCACCAGACAACGACTGGTGAAGACTTTGTGTGTGCTCTGATTACAGTGATTTGTGAAGTGTTTAGAACAGTGACAACATAATCATCATTTGTAGTTACGTTCTGAAAGTGTTCAATAAATCCAAATACCAGTCCAAACCCCGTCTATATCACTAAATCTCGTGACATTAATTAATCTTAGATGTGAGTAATACTGTCTTCTGGGAAATTATGCCGTGTAATCTGGTAGAGAAGTACCGACATTTCGGAGGAACCTGCTATCTTCTTTCTACGGGCTACAGAGTTTCACATCCCAAAAGGCGTATCCACAGCTATACTGGCATATAAGATGTAATTCTGTGTAGGCCGATAAATGTTTTGAAGGAATTTGCTACCCAGTTTTTAGGATAAGTTTCAACCATAGCTCGCGGCGTTACATAAAATATGCAGAATTTAATATTCACCTCCACGAGAACTTCAGAACTTCACAATTTTGAGTTTTGTTCGTTCCTGAATTTTATTTGTAAGAATTTCTTTGGGAAGTTTCCCCGCCTTCTTTAGCATACAAAAAAAAATGCATTCATCTGTAACGAAAGCTGTTTCTATTTACGCTCGGAGACCATAAACCCAGACTTTTCGAAAACAAACAAACAAATGAAAAGAGTAGGCAGAAATAGTCCAGAATATTTTTGGATGTTGGATGGTGCTAAGTCACATGAGAGGCCTTATTTTTTTTTTGCCTCTCTGAGAAACTTTATGGCGCCGCATTCCCCAGATGCGTGAATTAAAACGGCCCGGGCTCTTCTATGAGTCACGTGTATGCTTGATGTAAAAGCGACACAAGGCACATCTCTTAACGAATTACCTGATACAAAGTATTGAGAGAGATTTTTCTCTCTCAAAATGGTGACTACGAAGAGTCACGCAGTGTAGTCTGGTAGAAATTTATTCTCGACTGGTAAAATTTTACTGGACTAAACGGCTTTACAGATATGCTCGATGGTAAAAAGGACACATGACGCTCTTAATATGAACTTTCTGATATGTAGTAAGAATAGTTGTAAGATTGGAGATTTCCACGACGGTGATTAAGGGATATGACGCCGTGTAGTTTGAATGTATCTTCTCCTGGTAAACTTCTACCAGGTTCACAACACTGGAAAGGTGCAAACTTATGGCCATACAGCCTTACAGTTACTTTCTGTGAGTAAAGATATACTTTTAGTACCATCACAATCTTGTACCTGTGGATGTGAATCGTTAATAGATCCTGCAGCTATATTCCGATATGCCACTTGAGGCCATCCTACCTCTGTACACTTCAATTTCCTTTCATAAATCATGTCAAAAGTATTAATTTTCAAACTTTCTAACGTACGTGTAATCTTCATCTCATAGGGTAATGAACCGTTGTGTGGTAGTTCAATTTTGAAGAATAAATATTGGATTTGTCTTCATGTTATGTAAAATACGTAGAGTCAGTAAATAGGTCACAATATATATAACGTAAAATATATGATATTCGAACCTCGAAAAGAAACATTTATTTCTCGACATATCCTCCAACATTAATACAGTTGTTCCATCGCTTTACCGGTACGTCGAAACCCGCAGCATGAAGGTCCTTTGGTTGCTGTCTCAACCATTTCCTCATCTCCGTTTCAACACCTTCGTCATCAACAAAACACTTTCCACCCAGTTGTTAACCGCTTTACGTGACATGCACTTCCCACCGTAAACAGAAAAAATTTCTTTATGGATATATTTTGCATTCAGCAGAACGATGATCTTCGATAGTATAGTCCTCAAGCACGGTCGCCATTTTAACTACTGAAATCAGCCTCTGAACATGCGCATGCGAGTCTGCTACCTAGAATGTCATGAAGCTGGACAGTGCTGCTACCTAGTGATACACACAGAAAACCTGTTACATCCATTACAGCTGTTTTACTTCCATTTGTGGCCCATTTACTGCCTCTCCCTCGTATTATATTAGTATATTAGTTTAGTTGATCAAGAAATTCACACGATACATACCAAAATTTAAACTGAAATATATACATTTGACTACATTTTATATGTTATGGGTCCATTTTAGTCAAAAACAATTTATTAACGACAGTTGTACGTTTACGTAACCACCTGAAGACGATCATGAGATCGAAACAAAATAGTGGAATGTAGTACGAGTATAATAAAACAGAACATTAACAGGTTAATAATAGTTTTATTTATTGATTGTTTTGTTGACGGCCACGCAAGTACCTCTAAAAATCGGAAGGTTCACTACCGACGTTAGGTCTTTATGTACGTTATCAATATTTTCATTGTACATGTTCCTGTTATCTCCCATTGATAAAGCCTGATCTCAGGTGTCTATATAGCTATAGCTATACTGACAGATGTTGTCCAGTGATTGAGGTTAGCTTTTTCTAACGGCCCAAACAAAGTAAGTGACGGAGGACGGAAACAGATCAATTTTCCGAATCGTTGTGTTCTCTAGTGTTTTAAGAATAATGGGCGATAGAAAAAATTAAGCAACCAAATAAATCCTACTTCATTACCGTGTTTACAAGAGCATTACGCCAGATGAGTCCAATTCACACTCTAATTCTTTACGTTAATATTAATATTATCCTCCTCTCCATGCCTCGGTGTTCCAAATGTCGATTACTTCATAACGTTTAGCGTACAACTTCCAACATAAAATTACATGGAAATTTCTTGGTCCATTCTAATGATGTATCAGGTGGACAAACGAACAAGATGGCTCACAAATTACGTTTTAAATGTACGCACTATGTGCAATGGAGTGTGGGCACGCGGTAGCGCAGTTGGTTGAGGCACTATGCTACAAGCCGTAAGATCGGGGGTTTGATTCCCGATGAGGTTATTGGTATTTTCAATTAACCTAATCCTTCCAGCCGCAGTATGGCCCTGGAATAGACTCAGCCTCTAACAGAAATGAGTACCAGGGCTCTACCTGGGAGTAAAGAACGGCCGGAGCGTAAGGCTGACATCACCGTCACCTGTGAGCCGATTGTCTAGAAAATTTGAGAGCCTCGACATCTCACAACATTGTGGGCCTTCACGGCCTGTTACAGGGATAGCTTTACCTTACTCTTTGCTACGAACATGTGGCCATGTCTGACAGTCGAAATGTCCAACATATTTGTGGTGTAGTGTAAGCATGTTTGTTGCGCTGAGTTGTGTTGTGTTTGTGTGTTCCAGCGGTGATCCTGTTCATCAACTGCTACAGTGTGAATCTGGCGACTGGGGTTCAGAATGTCTTCACTGCGGCGAAGCTGGTCGCCATCCTTATCATTATCTGCGGGGGCGCCTACAAACTGGGAGAGGGTGAGTAGAGGGCAGTGTATCCAGTTAACGCATAGCGCTGGCAAGATTCTGGGGAGGGGGGATTTACAACTTCTACACTAACTTAACCTTTTGTGTACTATTTGAATTCACATTACATTGAACTTAAATATCTTGTATTCCCCGTCTTATAAGGTTAAGTATATAATGGTCTCTTAAGTCGAACTCAGGTCAAGGCTCGAATTAGTCATATCGTGACTGTACCAGTATGACACCCAAATCTCACCTGGAATTGTTCACATTATCTGCCAAGTAACGATTCTTTAAGAAATTTACATATTTAAATTTTTTAATACAGCTAAATTAAATATGTACGTTTATCGTAACTTCTTTAATTATCTCGAAAACAGAGAACGTTACTTAAACACAGGATGTCCTGAAAGTAATTTCACGGATAAGGCGACGCGTTTAACTGGGATTGTTGTCAATTAATAATACTAATTCAATTCAATTCAATTCAATTCATGTTTATTTGCGTGCAAACTTAACAGCACAGAGGCCAATTACAAAGTTGGCACGAGTACATAGAAATACACAAATAATAATAATAATAATAATCTGTAGTTCCATCAGGAGCACGAGTAGTCCTGAAGGTTTTTCCATTTTTTTACCTCACTCACCGCTAAATAACAGCTCGCTCTGACTTCTTTCAGCTTCTCTCAGAATGGATCTTTTCCATCTGTTTCTTGGTCTCTCCGTACCTCTGTTTCCTTGAGGATTCCACACTGAGGCGCGACGCTTGATGGCTGTTCATCAGCCTTCCTCAGTGTGTGGCCAATCCATCTAAATTTTCGTTTCGTTATCTGCATATTTGTATCTGTCTGGGCAGGTGACTGCCAGAGCCCTCTGTTTGAAATGGTTCTAGGCCACCAGATTTTTAATATATATCTCAGGCTTCTGTTAACAAACGTCTGGGTTTTCCTACTTAATTCATTCGTGACCAGCCATATTGCACAGCCATACAAAAGCACAGATTTAACGAAAATATTGAGAACATTTTATCTTTTTGTCTCTGTTCATAAAAATGGACTGCCAATTATTCTGAGTTGCATTGAGATTTTATTTGCAACAGGTGGTAAGATGGTAACACTGTGATTACACTAGCGTCTATTTCTATCAGCAATCTTGTTAATGATGTATTTAATCAAGTTGCATTTCGTTCTCAACAAATCAGTTTTTGCCTATAACCTAGGTATCGCGACTTTCAGCGCGCCTATTACATACCGAGACATAAAGTTTGTGTTTTGCGGAACGAGGACCCCCAGGCGGACGCGGGGTCGAATACCTCCACCGTAACCCTGCGAGTTGTAGGAGGCGATGAAGAGGGAACCCAGTGCCTGGGCGTATACCTGGGCCACCCTGTTCTTGGGGAATATTAATATGGGGACCTGGCCCTCCAGGTTGGGGGAATTTCGGATCTGAGACCCTAAAATGTGGCCATGAGTCGCGCAGAACTTGGACCTGAGAATGACTGTGCTGGCAAGGACCAGCAGCAATCGTAAACGACAGACCCATCATCTAATCAGAGAGGATGTTACATGATGACTATGAGAAGCCGCCAATTGTGCAACTACTCAAGAATTTCCCAGCATTTTGTGGAACCCAAAATTTCATTACTGTGTGCACTGGTCCCTATCTTGAGTTAGATCAATCCAATCCATACCATTCCATCCTATCTCTCTAAGATCCATTTTAATGTTGTTCACCTACCTATTTCTTGGTCTTCCTAGTGGTGGTTTTCTCTTCTGGCTTTCCCACCACTGTCCTATATGCATTCCTCTTCGCCCCCATTCGTGCTCCATGCCTTTCCCATCTCACCCTCCTTGACTTGATCATTCTAATTATACTTGGAGAAGAGTACGAGTTATGAAGCTCCTCATTATGCAGTTTTCTCCAACCTCCTGTCACTTCATCTCTCTTCGGTTCACATGTTCTCCTTCTGACACACATAGAAAATGTCTTCAGATAAGATCACTGAAAGTGTGTATATATTTCTTCGGACCCTTGTGTAGGGCACAGCCGCATTCGAATATTTCTTCAGTATTCAAGTCACATTCCCAGTTTCCAGTGACATTTATTTCGTAAAAATTTCTCATGAAACTTACGTAATTTTACAATATTTCGAGCATGGTTGCATATTGTAATTACAAATTTGAAATACGAATGTGTACGAATTTCTCTTTTGGACTGTTGTGGTTTTGTGCTTGCTGCTTGAGCTCTATCCACTAGACAGCGACTGGACATGAATGCCCTCAAAGTGCTCCACTGTGGGAGGACCTTATTGGCTTCTGTATGGAAATGCAAATTGCGTCGGTTTGACTGTAGAAGCAGGTGGCGTCAGACGTAAAACTGTTGAATGCTTTCATTTGAATTCAATGCCTTATAAAATCATGGCGCTACCTTATCAGATGGTGAAAAATACAGACAATGGGCATAATCGGTTGCCAGAACTCTGAATACACGTGATGTGGGTTTTCGCGTAGTACTTCTGCTGAATAAGTTCGTGTGTACTGAGGTTGCAGATTTATGTAGCTTTTCAGTATATTTATTTTTTTTTGGCTAGAAAAGTTACGGTTTTATTTAGTGGGAAACTTTTCGTTCCCAAATTGTGTGTGTGTGTGTGTGTGTGGGTGTGGAATTACTTTACAGCATAAGGTATTCTGGCTTCTGTAGAAACTGACCAGCAGCAGACAGACAGACAAAATTCATGGTTTCTTATACGTCTAGTTAAATTAAACGTATATATGGATATACACAAGTGGAAAGAATGACGGATATACGATATGTGCAGTATATAGACAGTTAAATACACATTAGTGTGCAGACAGACGATGGATATGTATACAAAAAGAAATTCATACATAAATTGAGAGACATATTTATGTAGAGGGGATGGACAAAAATATGGAAACACCTCGTGAAATGCATGCTTGAATTGAAGTGTTTATTTTAGCGACGTTTGTAGGTCACGCTGTTGTATCTGCCCAACACCACTACCTGTACAACCTCCGCAATACGTTGCAAGCTTCATTTGTTGTCGAGACAGTGTTCTGTGCAATTTTTTGTGCATCACGTCAGAGCTAACAGAATTCGAACGCGGGTGAATTGTTGGGGCCCATATGGTGGGTACTTCCGTAACCAAGGTAGCCCAGGTTTTTGGTGTTTCGCGAGGCACAGTATCCAAGATTATGACTGCATACAGGAGGACTGAAAAAACCGCATCCGATAAACACCAGCGTGGACAGAAATGTGTGTTGACTGATCGAGACAGACGAACACTGCGTAGGATTGTGACGAAAAATAAGAAGACTACAGCTGCAAAAGTGACTGCTGAACTGAATGTCACGCTCACAAACCCTGTCAGCACGAAAACAGTACGAAGGGAACTCCACAAGCAGGGTATTTCTGGACGAGCTGCAATTCTAAAGCCACTCATCAGTGACCAAAATGCCACTAAGAGGACAGTGTGGTGCCGAAGTCATAAAACCTGGACTATGGAGCAATGGAACACGGTCACTTGGTCGGATGAGTCCACCTTCACACTGTTTCCGACTTCTGGCCGAGTTTACGTCTGGAGAACGCCATCCCAAGCTTACGATCCAGATTGTTTGCTGCCAAGAGTGAAACATGGCTGGGGTTTGATCATGGTATGAGCAGCCATATCGTGGTTCTGTTGGACCCATCATTACCCTGCAAGGTCACGTCACTGCCAACGACTATGTGACCATTTTGGGCGACCAGGTCCATCCCATGGTGCAAACTTTGTTCCCCACTGGTGATGCCATTTACCAGGACAACAATGCCCGTGTTCACACAGCTCACATCATCCAGGACTGGTTTTCTGAGCACGAAGATGAAGTGTCACGTCTGCCATGGCCCCCACAATCGCCAGATATCAATATTATTGAGCCTTTGTGGTCTGTTTTGGAGAGCAATCTGCGTGCGCGCTATCCACCTCCATCATCGATAACAGAACCTACCATGTTTTTCAGGAAGAATGGTACAAGATTCCCTTGCAAATCACACAGGACCTCTATTTATCCATTCCAAGGAGACTGCAGGCAGTTCTGCAAGCCAGAGGTTGTCTTACACCATATTAGTCCCGGTAATTTTTTCTTGTTGGGTGTTTCCATATTTTTGTCCATCCCCTGTATATGTATAGACATACAGATATACAGACAGATAAATAGATTAATAGATATATAGACAGATTATTAGTAAGAAGATATATATACTGACAGATAGATAGATAAATAGAAGGTTGGTTGGATGAATGGATGGACGGATAGACATATACAGGTAGACAGATAGACAGACAAACACTTCTGGCGCCATCCTAAATAGGATTTAATTGAATAGAAAACTTAATGTATAAGTTTCAGAACTCGAGTTTGTAAAAAACTTTTTGTGAAGCCTGAATTGTTATCTAATAATCATTTTCTAATCGGAAAGTAATCTTTGCTTGTGTTTCTAAACAGAAACATAAGTTTAAGTTTTGTATGTCAGTGTTCTACAGAATTTAATTTGAACGCGGAATGGAGCGTATTTGGATTCTTGGAATAGCTTTAAACTTTTAACTTTTAGTTCAAGATTCGATATAAAAATGCCTTGGAAAGTTTGAAGTTATTCCTATTTTTATCTTCACAGTCATATCCCTGAATAAGTTCTTCTATGTTAGATGTATTCTGACTTTAATTAAATTTTTTAAGGAATTCGAAATCGATGTGACAACAGAGAGGAATTTTCGGTGTTTCAGAGTATGTGATAAGAACGTGAGAACCTCTAACAAAATAAAACTACATTCGATCTGAAGTTTCACAGTGATGATTATAAAGGGCACTGTCTTCTGGAATGTGACGCCGTGTAGTCCGATAGATATTCACCGACACTTCAGAGGACCATAATGTTCTTTTTTATTTTTAGTGTCAGAAGTAATCCGAGTGCATGACCTTGTTTGCTATGTGCATCTCGTTCTACTGGCG